GCTCTAACGATAGCCACTTGCGGTTTTCCAGTCAAATATAAAGAAATCACACTATCACGCTTGAATTCCGTCACGAATAATTTTTTTTCTGGAAAATTCTCTTCAAAATACTTATGCATTCTTGTACATAAATAATATAATGAACTGTCACTGGAATAATTTTAACAGATGTCGGACGAGTGGCTTAGAAATGAAAGCAGTCTGAATTTGGTTGCAGTTTTTTCATCTCACCCTGTAAATATGTCCATGCTGCATCAACAAATTCCTTTCAATTTTTTACAGCCCCGTAAATTTTTCAACACTGTTCCTTGTCTATTACTCTCTTGCCCTAAACATTCACCCCTCTGTGTACTGTTTTATTTTTTTCTAGCCATTAGTTGATTCTGACGCATTTAGTGTTAATAGCCATATTTATATGGCTTAGTAGACGTCTACCGGAACAAAAATACGAACAATCATTGCCTACAGTGAGTGGTAGTACAGTGCGGTTTAAGTTGCTGATGTATTCAGCCATTTCATTTGGCTTTTGCAGTGCATTAATCTAAATGGCTTGGATGAGGGGGGTCATTATACAAAAAAAAATGGTCGTTCGACCTTTTATCGGGTTGAAATGAAAAAAAAAAAACAACAACAAAAATGTCACTAAAAGTTTGTTCATGTTTTTATTTATTTTTTTCTTTTCTGTCATTAAATTAAGCTTCTTTTCTCGCTGAATAAACATAAAAAATTAAATGATTAATAATGAAAGAAGAGGAAGTCTAAAATTTTCTATTTTTTTTTTCATATAAATGGTGCGGATAACTTTTAATAGAAACGGCGTATATAAGACATTATTTTTAATTGGGGATATTTTCAGGACTTATAGGGAAAGAAAGATCCCTTATAACAAATGTGTTAAGATTTTGTAATACATAGACACAAATTTTAAATGGTTGATGGCTTTTTTATACCCTCCACCATAGTATGGAGGGTATATTAAGTTTGTCATTCCGTTTGTAACACCTCGAAATATACATTTTAGACCCAACAAAGTATATATATTCTTGATCAGAATAAAATTCTATGTTGATTTATCAATGTCCGCCCGTCTGACCGTCTATCCACCTGTACGTCTGTGGAAATCACTCTAGCTTCCGAACGAAATGAAGTAGGTTGATTAAATTTTACTTTAATGTGTATTACGTCTTCAGCACTTTTGGTATTTAAAATGGGCCATGTAGGTCCACATCTTCGTATAGCCCCCATATAATGGTACCTCCCGATATGCGGTATTTTGATGATTTTAGCGACATTATTTACCGGAATTGTTTCAAAATTAATATTTAAAGTTCGTAATAGATATTTAAATTTTACTTTAATGTGTATTATCTCTGCAGCACTTTTTGTATTTAAAATGGGCCATGTAGGTCCACGTCTTCGTATAGCCCCCATATAACGGTAGCACCCGATATTCGGTATTTTGATGATTTTAGCGACATTATTTACCAGAATTGTTTCAAATTTCGCATTTGAAATTCGTTATGGATACTACAACCTATGACAGTAAATTGTCTGTGCAGGTCCACGTTTTATAACCCCCATGGTACCTCCTTATATTCGGTATTTTGATGATTTTAGCTACATAATAAACAGATTTTTTTCAAGTTTCGCATTTTAATATTGTAACAGCTTGTTACAAAAGTTGCCTATGCAGGTACACGTCGTCGTATAGACCCTAATATACGACTTCATTCGGTATTTTTAAGATTTTAACAGAATCGTTAACGGATTTTATTTTTTTGAAAATTGTTAAATTTGTCCCAAATGGTGGAGGGTATTCAAAGTTCGGCCCGGACGAACTTACAGCTTTTTTACTTGTTTGTTTGAGCTAAAAATTAGGCAAACAGTGAAATTTTCTGAGATTTTTTCGGACAATGATAGACCAAAAGGAGAGAGACAAGAAATCTAGGATTTTTTAAGAATTTATTTGGAAACAAGTATTTCAGATTTTTTTGCAGAATTCAGGCTACAATTAATGCATATTTTATTTATTTTACAACAAAAAAATGGTAAACAATGTTCTAAATTGTTAACATGGTACCATAAAGACAAGACAAGCAATCACCTGAATGCAATTTCATCCTTTGGTAGTCCTATAATTTCAAAACATGTATACAATGTGTGTATGTGTATGTATTGTGTTGAATAATACACAAAATAATTTTAAACATTTTCAAATTCTGTTAAAATTTTAATGCTTGCAATTGTTTCATTTGTTTTTCGCGACTTTCTTTTATAAAAAATTGGGAGAAAAATAAAACCAGTAAAATAATATCCGTCGGTTTTGCCAACAGATGTATTCCCCCAGACTTGAGTTATGATTACTCAAACTGTTGAGCCTTTATGGGGGAGGTTCTGAAGCAATTGGCCAATATTGACCGATTCGTATCGGGCCTAAGACAGATAATGTGCCAGATTTGGACTATATCGCCTACTTCCTATTCTTTATATGAGATATGTACAAATTTTTGGAAAATGTGGAAATATGCATGAGGTAACAGGTATATAGTGGACCGAAGTATTCCATCTAATGCAGATAAAAATATTGGTATGTTCAAAATTTAAATGAAATCGAACATTTATATCCAATTTTATGCGATATCATAAATTACGATTAATTACAAGTTGTAAAGAATCGCCGGCTTGTTTCGCAAGTTATGACAGATAATAAGTATTGCAAATTGTGGGTGAGGTACCAGAAGGGGTTGGCAGATATATATCATTTTCATAACAAATTTGAAGAGAGTTTAATGCTTATCTCGTTTTCTTTGAACGTTTTGTTTTTCAAAAATCTTGAATCCTATGTGGGGGAGTTACCAGAAGAAATAGTCCGATATAGTCCGAAAATATTGGGATGTACCAAGTCTAAACGGAATCGGATGTTAATTTCGCGTTTTCTGAGCTTCATGGATATTCAGAATATTTACCCTTTGTGGTGGAGGTACCAGAAGGAGTGGACCGATATATCTCATCTTCACAGCAGATTTTGTGTTTGTAGAAATAATGGGACATGTGAAATACGAAGAGAACCGGATGCTTATTTCGGATTTTATGATTATTTCGGTTATTCAAAACTTTGACCCTTTGTGGAGGTGGTACCAGATGAAATAGTCCGGTATATACCGTCTTTACAACAGATCTTGTGTTGATGGAAATATTGGAATGTACCAAGTCTGAACGGAATCAGATGTTAATTTCGCGTTTTATGAGCTTCATGGATATTCAAAATTTTGACCCTTTGTACCAGGTACCAGAAGAATTTGACCGATATCTCCCAACTTCAATGATTCATTTTATAAGAGTTATAATTATTTTTATAAAAGTTTTGACCCTTTTTAGGGGAGCTACCAGAAGGAGTGGAAGGATATACCCCATCTTCAGAGCAAATCTTGTATTAGTATTAATAATGCTTATTTCGGAGGAGTGGACCGATATTGCCCATCTCCGAACCCGATCTAAGTTTGACAATAATATTACCATGTACCAACTTTGGGACAAAGCGTGTAGAATACATCTTCCTTTAGCAAAAATTTCTACCTAAAGCGAAAATTTATGTTATTTTCAGGTGTCAACTCAAAATAATGTCCGACAAATTTTTTGTAAAAAAATTTACGATTTTTATTTTTTCTTTTTGCATTTATGGAATTTTTTTTTTGGTATGCAGTGAAATTAGTGATTTCTTTTCTTGGTGACTTATAGTGAAAATTGATGGAGAACATTTTTGTCCTTGACATCATTCTCCTAAAACGATTCTTTGTTGGAGATTTTTGCATGAACTCAAATAAAGTAAGGCTTTAACACTAAATATAGTTTTTAATATATATGAATTCCTGGCATTTGGGAGAGATATAGACTTTAGACGTCTTCCAGGACCTATAATGGAATTTTATGATAAATATTTTTTTTAGAATATTTTGACTTGTTACAATGCCGTTTAAAGGAAGTTTTTAGCCATATTTTCAACAAAGGACCTAAAAGACCTCTTTTGTAGAGGGTAACAATTTCCCGCCAAAAGTAATACTCATGTCTTTGTTCGGAATGTTGCGTACACCTAGAATTTGTGGATACCAAGGAATCCTAATCAGAAAATTTCAAAAGATGTGTAAGATGGGGGCATTTGCCTCCTATGTTTAATTTTTTTCTAGGTGACCTTTCGAACATAAAAAATCAATAATTTGTTCCTAAATAACTTATCACAGATATAGCTATAAACGCAGAAAATTCAATATTTTAAAAAGTTGTGGTCATATTTAATTATTCAATGTTTCGCTCCTAAATAATTGATCACAAAGAATAACTACAAACGTCGGAAACTCTATAGTTAAGGATTTATGGCCATTTTAAAATATTCAATATTTCACTCCTAAACAACTGATCACAAATAATAGCTAAAAACGCGGAAAACTCAATATTTCAAGAGTTATTGCCTTTTTAAAATATTCAATAATTCGTTCCTAAATAAATTATCACAAATAATAGCCGAGAACTCAATATTAAAGAAGTTATGAATATTTTAAAATATTCAATAATTCATTCCTAAACAATGCCTACTTTTATTAAACACTGGAAAGGTCTATTTTCAGAATCTGCTGGATTATTTTTATATATTGGCCAGTGTAATTTTTTGAAGACAAAAAACTGTGAATTTTTTAAAGATTTTCTTTTTTTACAATTACTTAAAAAATATTCCAAAATTCTGCTTGAACTCCCTGCTTTATATAGCACCTATCAATTAGACGATTAGAAAAGCACAAAATTATTGTTTTAACAAAACCTGTGATGAAAAAATATTGGAAAATTTCAATATTGCCACAAAAGCCTTGCAAACAAAAGTAGTTTCTAGCTGTTCCAACACCAGTAGTACAAAGTCCCCTCACAATGCATTTTAGTTTTAGTATCTTTTCGACCTACACTTGCACACAACTAATAATAAAAATTTTTCGTTTTTCTCTCCAATACAGCTCCGCAAACCAGCATCCACTCTCTCAATTCCTGGCTCGATGAAAACACCTTCCATTGCGAATCGGGAACAGATCTCATCAGGATGCAACGAAGAAGCAGCAGAGGCGTTAGTTGGCATAAATACCGACTACCCAAGGTATGAAATGTATGTATAGCCGTTTCCAAAGTCCATGCTAAATGACATTCTTGTATATTCGAAGAAGAAAAAAAAACAAAAACAAATATTTAAAATGTTCATATACATACATACGTGCATACATATGTAGTTGTGTAGACCTGGGCCATGCGTGGTAGTATAGATGTATTATTGAAGAAACCCTCATGCATCCAATAGCAACCATTGAGATTTACATGAGTGTAGTTTTTTTTTTGCTCAGCCCCCCCCCCCCTTCAGCCATCACAATAAAACATCCTCTCACACATATGCATATTGTATGTATGTATATGTACATTATACCTTTAAATCGTATTAGTGTCGTGTAGTGCAGTGCAGTTGTTGCCATTTAGTATGTCATACATGACCATTAGATTAGTTGTCGTAACAATACAACCCGAACGTACTCGTATTATGACAGAAAAGAACGCTCAATTAACATTCGATTAGTTTTAAATTAACAAAGTGCTTATCGTAAATTCTTTATCTGTGGTCGGAACTGGAACTGGCCGGAAGAGGTTGTTGGTTAGTTGTTGTTCTTGTTTTTACGTTATTCTTTCTTTAATTTCTTTTTACATAGAAAAACACTTAAGACCGAACATTAGATGTAATGTCAGGGTAACTAAGTAAACTGTTTATTGAATAAAGGGTAACAGAGGGGGGTTTACAAATTTTAAAGTGTAAAAAAATACAAGAAAAAAATAAATAAAATCAAAAAAATATCTGAGGAAGAAAAGATATTTTCCTTTTTTTTTAATGAAAATTTCTTAAAGGAGAAATATTCATTTCTTGAATGCTACAATAGCTACCATGTGTTAATAATTAGGGGGGTAATATAACTTAGCTGAAAATAAATAAAATTGTGAAAAAACACAAAAATTGGGGATTTTATGAAAAATTTCCTAAAGAGCCGGAATACCAAAATTGCGTATTTTTTAAGAAAAAATTTCTGGAACCTCATAAACTAAGGTTTTTATAGAATACTGCCAGGGCCAGCTACCTCGTTAGCGAAAAGATCATTCTAAAATTTTAGATTCGTTCCGAAGTTGGTTTTCTCCGATGAGAAAACATTCGTTATTCGGCAGTTTGTAAACAAACAAAACGATCGTATTTACTTGCCAAATAGGTCAGCTGAAAATGTGCACCTTCGGTTGGCCACAAGAACTCAAGCGCCGGCCATGGTGATGGCGTGGGCCGCCATAACAGACGATGGTCGCCTCCGCTCGTATTTATCGGCCGTAGCATCAGAATAAATGTCGAATATAATCGCGAAAATATTCTAGTGGGTTTATTAAAGCCTTGGGCAAGCAAACATTTTGGCCGCAGACCTTGGACATTCCAACAGGACTCAACACCGCACCTCCCAAGAATGGTTACAAAACAAGGTTCCTCGCTTCATTTCCAGCGCACAACGGCCACCAAAATCCTCGAAAACCAATCCGTTGGACTATTGTGTCTGGAATATTTTCGAAAGAAAGGTTGGCACTAAAAAATACCAAAGTGCCGATCACTTCAAGCAAGCGCTTCGCCGGGAATGGGCCAACATACCAAAGAGCAACATTCGGGCAGCGTATGACGGTTTCATTGGCCGTTTGACGGCCATAATTCGGTGGCCAAATTGAACAAATCTAAACTTATTTTAAAATTTGATGCTATTTCCGACATTTTTGGCTTTCATTTAATAAAATTAAAAAAAAATTAAAAATCATGGCGTTTGGCGTTGTTGCAGTTTTTTTATCTCACCCTATATATTCTTGATCAGCCTAAGATTCTAAAATGATTTAGCCATGTCCGTCTGTTGTAATTACGCTAGAGTCAAAACGAATTAACATATTAAGCAAAAGATTCACATAGATCAGTCCTTTGTGTGCAAGCAAGTCAAGTGCGAAGATGGGCTATCGGTCCCATATAACTGTACCCCCGATATTGGGTATTTTGATGATTATAGCCACATTTTTCAATAAAATTGTCTGAAAATCTACACAAGGAGTTCATTACGAATACTTCACTCCCTGGAAGAGAATTGCTTATATAGGTCCATGATATCGTATAACCCCCATGCAGCGCAACCCCTGATGTTCGGTATTTTGATGATTTTAGCGACATTATTTACCAAAAATTTCCTTATGGAGGACCACGTCTTCGTATAGCCACCACATAACAATACCTCCCAATATTCGGTATTTTGATGTTTTAAGAGAGACTATTCACCGAAATTGGTTAAACTTTTGTATTTGTATCTCGTAATAAGTACTACAACCCATAACGAACAATTGTCCATGTCTTAATATATCCCACATATAATCGCACCTCTATTTATTCGGTATTTTTCCAATTTTATATTTTTTTGGTACATTTTTCCTTCAAATGGTGGAGGAATTGTTTCAAATTTCGTATTTAAAGTTCGTAGTGGCTACTATCTTTGAAAGGATATTTTTCCATTTTTATATATTTTGGTACATTTTTCCTTAAAAATGGTGGAGGGTATTAAAAATTCGCCTCGGTCAAACTTAGCGGATTTTTTATACCCTCAGCCATATGGCTACAGAGGGTATATATCATTTGATACGGTCAAAACGTGCCTAGTCGAAATAACGATTTTAGACCCTAGGTCTTTTTGGACCAAATCCGTTTCAGAACATTTGGAGTCGATCTAGCGATGTCCGTCCGTCCGTCCGTCCGTCTGTCTGTCTGGCTGGCTGGTGCGCACGATAACTCTCGAAGGGAGTATCCGATTTGGTCCAAACTTGGTACATCGTAATATTTTTGTCAAACTTAGATCGAGTTCGGAGATGGGCAATATCGGTCCACTCCTTCTGGTACCTCCCACACAAAATGTCAACATTTTCAAAGAAAATAATTTATTGCACAGAAAGGGAAAGGATAATCCGATTTTGCTCGAACTTTGCGAATCCTCATATTTTCATCAGTGCTAGGTTGTGGGCAAAAATGGACAATATCGGTCCACTCCATCAGGGACCTCCCCCACAAAGGGTCAAAATTTTGAATAATTAAAGCTCTTATAAAATGTGATGTAACAGTCCGATAGTCTTCAAATCCCACACATCTCAATAATTTTATTAGCCTAAGGTCGGGTGCAAAAACGGAATGTATCGGTCTACTCCTTCTGGTACCTCCCCCACAAAAGGTCGAAATTTTCAAAAAATATTTTTTGCACAAAAAGAGAAACGATAATCCGATTTTGCTCGAACTTTGCAAATCCTCATATTTTCATCAGTGCTATGTCATGTGCGAAAATGGACAGTATCGGTCCACTCCACCAAGTACCTCCCCCACAAAGGGTCAACATTTTGAATAATTATAACTCTTAAATAATGTAATGTAAGTATCCGAACGTCTTCAAATTTCACACATTTCAATATTTTTATAAACCCAAGATCTGGTGCTAAAATGGGATGTATCAGTCCACTCCTTCTGGTACCTCCCCCAGAAAGTGTAGAAATTTTGAATACCCATGAAGCTCATAAAACGCCAAATTAACATCCGATTCCATTTAGACTTGGCACATCTCATACAAGGATCGTCGGAATATTTATATCATATTTTTGGGTCCGATACGAAATGGACAATATTGGCCCATTCCTTGGGAACCTGCTCCATAGAGGGTCAAACGTTTGAATAATTGCAGCACTAGTCAAATTATATTTAAATAATCGAACACAGGCTGAGGGTATATATCTGCCGGCAATACCGACTGATACTTTTTAACTTGTTAATTGTTATTTCTTTATTTCTCTTAAGAGCTTCTCAATAAAAGGCGAAACGCGTCGCTACTAGTGAGCGTATAATGGTGTCTCCCTTACCTTCCCTTTCACTGCAAATTTCAGAACAGATATTCCTCTTAACAACGCAAAAGTAAAGTAAAGTTTTGTTTTTGTAAAATTTTCAACATGGATTCAATTTTCTTCCTCAACGTAGGTAAAATATTGGGCCTGGCAGAATTTTATTCCGTTTCCACATGCTTATTACCGATTTCACCAAGTGATTTGGAATTTTCAATAGGCCATGAATTTGTCGAAATGACAGTTAAAATTATTTTTTTCCAATTCGAATCAATAATTAAATAAATAGTCAAAAGAACAAAAATGGAAAATCTACGATTGAAATTTTGATTCATACTCAGAACTGATAATGAAAATTATTCGAAAACGAAAACTATAATTTTTGGTGGATCGCCAAACATGGAGAAGAAGAAAAGGTTGTCTTTCACGTAGACTAAATTTTTTCTGAAGCGGATAATGAGACATGAAAGCAATTGGCCAACACCTAACCACATTCCAACAAGGACAATTTGTTAGAAGTGGAGATGAAAGTGCTCAATGAAGAAACGCAAAAGCATTTGGAGCAATGAATTTAAGGCCATAAAAAACATGATTCTAAGAGGCCATTCGAACAATAACTTAAATGAAATCGGTAATAAGCAATTGAGAACGAAATAAAATGCATGCATGCCCAACCTTTGATATCAGCCAAGATGAGGTAAAAATTCGAACCCTTGTTGAAATTGTTTGCAAGTATCAGTGGCTCTTATTGAAAGATGTGGGTAAGTTCGAAATAAAGCATACAATCCGAAGGTACTTTTTATGACAGCGTTACAGATATTGTAGACCCTCGCGGAGAATTTATAGTTGTAGAAATTCCATGGTGTTACACATTTAGACAATTTCAATGTCGTTCCAGATCGTTGACATGGCGTCCATAAGGATGCGTTATATTTTTTAGGGAAGTAAGAAATAAGCTTTCGAATGTATAAGTTCCATCAAGGAGCATTTTAATGGGCAGGTTGCCATTGACGTTCATGGTCTTCCCCTTTTGAGCATGACGGACACAGCATTTTTACTTTGTCTCATTTTGAAAAGTATCCATTAAAGAATTTCTTCCTTCAAAATCTTAAAAATCTACATTGTCGTTTAAAGGGAAGTCACCTCTCTGCGTCAGGACTGTTCTTTGTATATAGAACAAACGAAAAG